AGTAATTCCTAATAAAACAGAATTTGTTCATGAGTAACAATTTCAAGTTATATATCACCTGAATGTTACTTGCGGACAGTGCAGACTATGCAAAGTGAGGCAATTAAAGTAAACACTATGAATAAGAAAATAAAAAACACTCAATAAATGCACATCTGAGGTCTTCAGCAAAATTAAAAACACTGATTTCCAATGTATTGATAAAATGGCATAACACTCTGAACCTGATGAATGTGCCAAGCATCAGTTATGTTGTCATTATTATGGCAGAGCAATTTAAGGTGTATTAACTAAATGGTATTCTGCGGAGATTTAACTTCTTGTTTAAGTGGAGGTTGAGATAAATTGCCAGCGGCAGGATCAATAAAGAGGCTTCCTGTTTGTCCCTATGGAATCGCTCCTTCTGAAGCTGGAAGAGAGATGTCGCTCTGCCACTGACTCGACTGCTGTAGAATCTTGATCGTTAGCGGTTGGTGGGACATCTCACTGCCTCAGCTACAGAAGCAGCAATTCCATAGGGACATACAGGCAGCTTCTTAGCAATCCTGCTGCTGGCAATTTTGAGATTGCCAGCAGCAAGATCACTAGCGGCAGTCACCCATCTGACACCAGCCTTAGTTGCGTTCAGCCTACAGACACCAGGCTTAGCTGTGTTCAGCCTAAAAGTATACATGCTACCTAAATGGCGAGAACTGTCAATCTGTCTTTCAAACCAATATCCTCAACCAGCAACACAGTTGCCCTCTGGCTTGCAGGAGGATTTTGTTGAAATAAAGTTCTGCAACAGAATGTAACCAAAAGCACGAAAATAGTGTCTCAGATTGGCTAAACCTTTCCGAGAGATCTTTAGTTTGCAATGAATTGACTAATCGGCACATCATTGTCTCATTTCATTATGTTTTTCTGTGATGGTTTACTGTGGGAAGCCTTTGTTATTTCTCCATCATGGAGGCACCAAATGGGCCAATTTTGGGAAAGCATAGTGTCAAATCTTGGGTTGGGTCATATCTTGGCATCATTAGTGCCACTTTGATTTAACAAACTGCATGGAAAGTGTTTGCTACTCATCAGTTATCCAATAAAAGAGGTATCTATGTTTAGAAATGGTCCTCGACACTGGCGTTACAATGACAGTCTCTTTTTTTCACAAGGCTGTGCTTCAGTGATGTGACTAATTCATGGGGAAGGGTCAAGCTTGGTACTACAGTGCACGCTGGCTGCCATCTCTTGATGTAGGCGACAGGAACACAAATGGTTTTTCAGAGCAAATAAAACAAAATAATGTAAAGAGCACTTGTGAGAGTAAACAAAAATGATGTACTGGTGGTCTAAAACTGGCCAATAAAAGGCCTTGGGAGGAAGGTCAAACTCTTCCTCACCATTGGTCTAATCCTAAGCAGCATGAGTCACTCTGCTTCAACCCTCCCAATAGTTGTGCCACAGTTCATCTTGTTTTTCCCCTGACATGATGTACCCCTGTTCTGGGAGCCCAACAAAAGGTAACTGAAGCCTATAATGTGTCACACCAAAAATGCTAAGCCAGCTATCAGCAATCCAATATAATACGAGCTGCTTTCTTAATTCTACCAGACAAATAATAAGCAGAGGTTGAAGCAGAGCTGCCTCAATGATCAGCACGGGACAATCAGTGGAAGGTTTTTCGCACACTCTTGTTAAAAGGAGGAGAACCTACAGTTATTTCTACGTGATTTCACATCTATTAAACAAGTGAAAACATAAGAATGTTAAAAATAAATGCTTTAGAAATGTCTACATAGCAAATTCAAAAGGACAAGAGCTTTATTCAGCATTGACCTGCTTTGATGCTTAATTTTAATTTCCAATTTTGCTGGGCCTATCAGATATTCATTCCAAATAATCAGTGTACGAGTCAGGCAAATAATATTTTTAGAAGGTCAGCCAGGGCAGCATGCTGTGTTTCTCATGATAGGTTTCCTACCAATGACTCTCTGTTGAAGAAAAATCATCCCTCAAAGTTTGCTAAAAACTGTCACTTCCAGGAGTGCCCATCTCCTGCCTCCCACTTCAGCGATCACTGATTTCTCTTCTTTCTACTGAAATTACTAAAGAACACAGTAGTAGTGAGGTGGAGGTCAGCAGGAAGAGCAGTGGGGCACCCAGGAGATGGACATCTCCAAGTGTTGGTTTTCCGGCAGACTTTTCAGGACCACACAGGCTCCTGTAGAGGGACGAGCATACAGGAAGTATTATCCGGTGCTCTACAAGTCCCAGCATTCAATGCACCAGTGGAAACTCAATCCCGCCCATTCCTCCTCTTTGCAAATTGGTGGACATTCACATGTTCATCATTCTACCTCAGCAATGGAAGGGCGATACACTCATCTCTGGTATTACACACTTGGGTGACGTGAACAATATGCAGTAAGCAAGCAAGATTTTGCTAATGTTCCTTTTCGGTGAAAAGGTGGGAAGGATTAACAGAGGGGAACCAACTGGCTGAAATCACAGCGTTAGTAAAATCTGGCTTTGCCCTCTTCTTTATTCATGCAAAAGTATTCCCTTCTCTGGGATACTTATATAGTGACAGGGTCACTTTAAAGGTCAAATATGCATCACCTAAACACTTAGGGCTCATTCACACCTGCTGTGTATAATGCCTGCCCACTGGTGTGTATTGCAACATTGCATCGCACTCTTTACATGTTTTTCTTTTCTAGAGCGTTTCAATTCTGTGCACTACAGCAACACTGTGCATTGGACCGTGTGTTAAACTGCACACCTACTGCATTTTTATGCAATTCACCGGTATAGTGTAAACAGGGCACATAAAAGTTTATATGTGTGTTACGTTGAGCCTGTGTTAAACAATGCAGCTCAATAGTCATGGTGTGAAAGGGCCCTTATGCATATGAAATTGAAAACTTTAATAGGACTAGAAGATGTTCGAGAACATAAAGTATTTAGCTGATTCTCTAGTAGTGCCAATTTCCACATTAAAGACTTTACATCCCATTCTTTCCCCTGCCTGTTCAATGCAAAATATGTTTTTTATTTTTGTGAGCTATAAATATCACCAATCCCTTAAATAGTTCCTCAAAGCTGTTGAGCTCAGGATCATCCAACTTCTACCCCAACAAGCATCAAGTGCAACCACCCTGCGCAGGGAGCGAAATATTCCCTGCAAGCTTTTCCACAATTGGTTGCCCGATATCCCTAAGGGGGATATCTCACAACCACACCCATGTGAGTATTCGAATCCTCAACTATACCCATCTATTTCCTGTCTTTATATCTTTCTACATTATCCATACTACACTTAGTCGGATCTCTACTGGGTCTTTTGTCCTCATTTTCTTCTCCCATCATGTTAGTGGAGCTCTCCCTTTTCCAAGTTTCATCTTGATTTTGCACTGCAAGTAGTTAGAGACAGCAGAGCATCACACCAAATGTAAGGAATCCAAGTGGCTTATTGCGTTTTCTGACAAATGTACTAAATACAGATAAAAGCCAACGCGTTTCCGGGGCTTACCATTTATCAGGGCTACAAAGAGAAGGATGACAAATTTGAAACATGCACCTTCTAAAAAAAAAAAAAAAAAAAAGAAGAAGAAGAAGAAGAATGCAATGACAGCTTTATCCTGAAGGTTTCCCTTTCTTCATGGGAAGAGATGAATCTATGATAAGTAGAGCCTCCTACAATCCTAACTTGTATTGTACACTTTGGGAAATAACAGACTTCATCTGAACAGCCCATGTACAGACAGCCCTCAGCCCTAATTTCTCATAAGGTCATACCATACTGCAAAGACAGAGACTCCAAGACTTGTTTCAGGAATTTTTATTTCCCCTTGAAATCTTTAATGAAGGCAAATAATGTAAATCTCCATTTTTGCATGAAATTAGGAGCCGTATGTACAGGATTATTGAATTTGGGCCATCATTTTGTGACATTATAACCCATAGTTCGACATGTCAAGACTATTTTACAATAAAACAACAAGAGTTAAAAGTTTTATTTATTACTTTTGGTTTCTGTTATTCACTTGCCAACCCCGAGACCAATATGAAACAAATTGTACTGCAGCATTTTGTATGTTGAATACAGAATCAACGTAGTAAGGAAATACATCACTGTGACATACCCCAGGATGTCCAATGATTCCTAGTTAATGTCTAAACTACGTATTTAGGACTACTAAAAAAGACCCAAATTATTTAAAGTGAACCTGCAGCCAGGCCATGCAAAGTGAAGTTTAACTTATTCTTAGACTGCAGTAAATCAGCTTTAAAAACAAGTCATCACTTACTTGGCAGCTTTCTAATCTCTAATGTAACCCCGGAACAGGAGGAGCGAGCAAAGTGCTGAGACCCCACTTGAACTACTTCAGTGCTTCCGTGGGAATTTAAGGAAGAATTGTTCCACAATGCCTAAAGCTACAGAGGGCTTGTTGTAATATACAGGTCAGTGAGGGCTTGTTGTAATATACACTGCTTGTTTAGAATATGTAAATATTTAAAATGTCAATAGCTTATACACAGTACTAGTACTACTTTAAAGGTCTTTGTGGTAGCTATTAATCACTCTGGAAGTTATAACTTTCCACTCTTCTTGCTGAATTGTAACACAAATACATTGCAAATATATAAGCATTGAGTTTTAATCCAGTGGCCAGTTCAGTCCACCAGAAAAGACATTTAACTAACACCAGTTATATATGGACTGTTCTTTTAACTCATAAGATAGGACTGCTGAACTATAACCATCAGATGAATACATAAAAAGATCTCACTTAAGTACATTTTTTTTTTTTTTAATCTGTGTAGTCGCATAATGAAGTACAAAACTTAAATTTAGCATTTGCTCCGAACATAAGCAATTTTCACATAAGAGGTACATGGAATATGAAGGTGATGCAAATTTGAACATTTTCCTAAACTAAAACAATAACAAAAAGAACACCCATATGACATTATCTTACAAAACAAAACAATTGCACAAGGTTTTTGTTTTTTTTTTGTTCTAAAAATAAATTATAACAGGCGATGCAAAGTCAAGTCAAAACCCTTTCTCCTAAAACATTACCAAGTTATCTGGCTCATTATTCCAATCCCGGCTCACCATGGCCTTTCCCAATGCATGTACCATATATACAGATTTGTATTAGTTAGATTTTCGAACAGTGTATTTCAAACTACCATTGCACAAGCCAAATTTTACAGCCATTCTCGGTCTAGAAATATACAGAAACTCAGTCATACAGGTGACCGTAAACAACATTTCCAAATCTGATGATGAGATCCAAAGCTAGCTGGTTGTTCCTATTTAATATACTGAAAAGCCAGAGTGTTCGTGGCACCTAAAACATGTTTAACCCCTGCGGACTTACAATATTCGGATTAAAAGAAAAGCAAATTTGGTCTAGTTCCCGCAGAAAATTCAAATGACTTGCAGGAAAGTGCTAGCACATCAATCAGCAGTATGGTTGCGGTTCTAGGTTAGTGAGACTAGTTCGTTTTCATAACCCTCAGACTGTCCAAATAACTTTGAGAAAAAACTGCTGCCTGCAAAGGAAGCCACCGAGAATGAGCCCCCAAATGCGCCAAACACAGCATGGAAACCCAAAGCGACTACACCCCAGATACCACTTAGTATGTCAATGCCCACGTCTGGGATGGCACAAACTGTATAATATGGGAAACTGGCCATGTCACACAGGAACCTTGTCGGCAGCCTAAGTAGGAGGCAGACAGCAGAAAACACATTGTTAAGAATGCGAACAAAGCCACAGAGGATATTTGCGAGAACTCTGAGGACATCACATGGGATGTTCAGCAAAACTTTGCTCAGAGCAAAAATGTAGGTGGTGGCTGCAGTCCAGATCCAGTACAGTCTTCCAAAAACTAAATTAAGGACTTGCTTGACCAGGAACCACACTAGGCACAAGATGTTGTTCACAATCTCGTAGGTGATGCAGAAAAGGAGCTGAAAGAACCTAGAAAAGGCTCCTGGCCTAGCGGGACCCTCGTCCTCTGTTTGGGTGGCAGATTCAGATGTTCTTTGTTCAGCAGACACAGCTCCTTCTCCACACTGGTTGGAGAATAACTTTACACCACTGGGCAACCTACTTTCCAGTTCTTCCAAAGTGACCTGTTCCAGATTATCTGCATCTCCAACTGACTTGATGACTCCTAAAGACCATGCCTCAGGAACACTGCAGAAAGCTGCAAGCCAGACATATTCTGGAATGCTCACTTTGTCTTTCATTTTATTACTAGATGGGACAGCACCGACAATAATATGCAAGTTCCCTCCATTTCCACATTGAGGCACTAGCTTCTCCTTAAGCAGCTGATCCACATCCGTGGCCCATTTCTCCTTAAAGTTCTGTGGGAGTGGCACAGTATTAGTAAGCAAGGCTGGTGCTCTATGAAAGAGAGGACTTGGCTGGTAATCGGATGAGGCATAATCTTCCTCTAAAGCCTGGTTGGTACCAAGACCTTCAATCTGCTCCGAGCCTTTGGTGGCTTCATCCAAACTGCTCTTTGAATCATCCAGCTGCAATAATAAAGAAAAATAACTAAGAATGTGCTTAACATATTTAACAATACATTTTAAAAGGGTAATTCTATCTTTGAGAACTTAGAAACATATTCCGTAAAAAAAAAAAAATAGAGAACATCACTAACATCACACTTTTCATGTGTCCCGTGGGGGAGATTTCTTTTCATTTCCTGTCCCACAGATGCAGCAGAAAGTAACAGGAAATCTCAAAGAGAGGGGAATTCCCCTCTTAGTCAGCTAACACCATACATAGTGTCCCCAACAAAAGATCAACGCTCACCTCTTCTTCTAGTGACAGCTGTTAAATTTTGGCTACCAATTTCTGTCCTGGGAACAGTGGTACCTGGTACTTTTTAGGTCACAGATGTTATTAAACAAATAAAACCTTCATAACATGGCCAATTATACTTACCTACTGTTTATTTCCTGCCCATTTTCTGTTTTATTCACTCTTTTGCAGAGGAAAACTGATGCATGTTCACATCCGGCACACTTTAGGGTGTATTGGATGCCTGCGTTGTTCGACGTATGTAGTGGTTCCATCCACCAGCCACTACATTACCACTGTGTCCTGTACAGAGGTAGGTGACAGTGGACTGAAGCAAAGGATACTACAATAGGAAGAGCAGGCATCCGACACACCCAGAAGAGGTAGATGCTGATGTTTCCAACAGTGGTTTTTCCTTTGCAAGAGAGCAAAGACTGCGGGAACGAGAGGAGGCATGGGAGGATATAAATAGTGCTTTTTTGCATCTTTTTCCTGCATTTTTTGAAATCCAGATCAGAGTCTGTTTAAAGTGTATGTAAACCCAAAAGTGTTTTGTTTTTTGGATAGAGTTGGGAAGGTTTACAACCCGTTAGTTGTTTTTTTGTTTTATTGCCGTCTGTGTCCTCACTGGGAAGTTATATGTTTTTTGAACCAGCTCAAACCTCCTCTTGTCCAAACTGCATGCCTGCAGGGACCCCAGTACACTGGGTCCCCGCCCCTCCTTGTGAGTCCATGATGCTAAAACATTGGCACATGGACAGGGATCTTCTCCAAATATCACTTTTTTTAAATTCAGCATACACCAAGTAGCTTATGCGTTTCAGCCCAAACCCTGGACCTTAGTCATAGACCCTCTATAATCATCCTGGTGACTAAGAATGTGCAAGTGCTTATTGTGAACCCAGTTTGCCAAAACCTGCACAAAAATGACTGATACCCCCTTTGCTGGACCCAATCAACCCTTGGTGACATGTAGCTGTGGGTTGGAGAATGTTCCGTCCGCAAATGACTGGGCCAGAAGGAGGGTGTGTCAGTGGCTTGAGTGAACTGGGTTCACACCAAGCCCTTGCACGTCATTACTGGTGACCATTGTAACTGGAAAATCAAAAGGTTTTGTCACTGGAACAGGAATTGAGAGGACATTTTTCAATGGGGACAATGATGGGATCCCTTGTACGTCTCTTTGCCTTTAAGGGGGTTGGGCTTCCTCCTGACAAACCTGCACCCAATTTTATCTTCTGCCCCATGTGCTCCAAGATGGAGGCTCTGATAGTTTAGAGTTAGGACCGCACTATAAGAGGTGCCTTGGCGCGGCTTTCCCATTTTCTGCAGAAGACGTGTATCCAAACCTCTGTTATTAACCTTAGTGGTGAGACACGTTTTTTTACATGCTAGCTTGTGAGTGTGCCAGGAAAACCTTTTGCTAATTTACTGTTTAAAGCCCATTCCGTGTGCACCTTACTGTAAAGCTGGTGACGAATTGATGAGTGCGTTTGTCATCTGTTTTGCTTTATTTAACTATTCCCTTCTCCATCCAAAAGAAAATGGAAGCATTACCTGCATTGGTATGCAACTGATGATAGCTGAAAAACCTGCTTTGAAGTCCCATCATTGTCATATTTATAGTTCAGCAATGAAAACGCATGGGTTAGTTACCAATGTATTATAAACGATATTAGATCATGATTGTTTTGGGCTTTCAATATAAACACAAGCGAATTGGGAGTACGTAAGAGACTTGGTAGAATCTAAGAATCATTTTTATACAGTAGAGTCATGCATTACAGAATGATCTATAGCTGAATCTATGCATAAGAACATATCTTAGACACTAATGGTTTGTCCATCTACAATTCATTTCTCTGCTACAGATGAAATGTATGTTCTCAAGAATCCTCCCTCCTCCCCACGCCTGAGTCACTATACAGTTGCCAAAGGCAAGACTGATAGCAAACCAGCCCAGCCACTAACAGACGGAATGCAGGATAACAGCAGGTCGTGCAAAACTAATTTAGGACGCTGTGTTGAAGAAACTGCACAGTCCTGTCTACAGTAAGAACAGTTAGCAATTTCCTGGCAATGTTTTTGATGTTTTTTCTGAACTACCCCTTTAAGGCATCAATCGGAAACACATTAAGGGGGGGGAAAAACGGCTTTTTATTTTTGCTCCTTTAGATAATGACCTTGATCTAATGACAGATATTGTTTAATGTTCTTCTGTATGTCAGCATGGTCAATACAAAAAAAAAACCCTGACTCGTTCAGAGAAAGGAAAAAAGCTTATGGCATCAATTAGGAACAGCACGGCCATTAAGAGGATCGGATGATGGATGTCGGTTTAACACCACTATTAGATAATGTCCTGCAATGCAAGCTTTCAGAATCTCTTATTTCATCAGGGATGTCTCGGCAGCTGACGGTGCAGCACAGATATCAATACAGGACAATAGAGAATGCTTGGATTTCAGAGAGCACAATAAACGAATGAGGCAAAGTACTAGTCCACATCTGAAGATCATACTAAATGCAACACATGAGGCTCATTGTTATGATAGTAGGAGGTTAATGTATCTATTCTTACTTCACGATTCATTTTGCTTGCTGAAACATGCAATTCATAAAAACTGGAATCGTTCATTCTCAATTTCCGGGTGATATGTGTGCTTCAAAGCAGGGCTGGACAAATCCCAAAAGCAAGGTTGTCAATGGTGCTTTAAATGTACAGCTGGCATCTAACTTTTGAGATTTTGTGGTCAATGGAGCTCCTAAAAATCCTGCTGGTTCCTGGACTGGACAGACTGGCTACTGAATTCCATATTAATTTGTCCATCCCTGCTTGAAAGGATAAGTACACTTTCAAAAAACATTTGAAACTAGGTTTCGAGATCCTGCCATAGAGGTCTTTGTTCAGGAACTTTCTGTTGTAGGGTGACAAAGCTCTGTCCTTCTCTCCGAATGGTGTTCCTGCATTGTCACACAGGCTTTCAGTGGAGACTATAAGGCTGAATTTCCACTGCTGACCTGCGATAACTTGCAAAACATTTATTATGCGTATTGATGCGCCGCAGTGTCCTTAAAGTGACACTAAACTCAGGAGTTAAACCTTAAAAATGCATTCAAGAACCTTAATTAACAACAAAATGGTATCTTATTTGTGTATCACTCGGCTGTAGATCCTCAAATCATTTCTGAATTGGTGCCAACACTGTCCTTCCTTCTGGAGGCGGGCTACTTATGTTCCCCATGGTCCCTGTGTGTGTTGTAAAGTAGCCACCGATCCAAGCTTGCCCCCATGATGGACTACAATCTCACGCATAGTTTACTAGTTTGTATTGAGATTGTAGTCCATCACGGGAGATGATTTTGAGGATCCACAGCTGAGTGATACACAAATAAGATACATTTTTGTTAATAGTTAGGGTACTTGCATGCATTTTTAAGATTTAACTCCTGATTAAGCTCCTGCTGGTACCAAGACCGGCAGCGTCTTTCCCACTCTGACCTAATGATTACTGCAGATCCCATTGCCCTTCAATATATGTGAGGATGCTGAGGGACAGTCAACAAGCTGGAGCATAATGGGGGAGCTTTACCCAATATCCCCAGACAAAAACAAGCAAAGGTAGTTAGGCTTTAATCTTCCTTTAAGAGAACACGTCACTTTGCCCTACATGAGCAAAATGATAGAGAAGATGCTCCCTACCATGTGGTTTGCTAATTTCTAGCACAAATAATAGGCCAAGAAATACTTTTCATACAAGGTGTCAACAGTCATTATTAGAGGCTGAATTTATTAACGTAAACAAGGCAATCGGCTGAGGAGTTAACGTGCTGGAGGTGAAGTGATGAACCCTCTATGTTTACACTAATCTTAAGTGTAGCCCTTTGGTTGTTAGAATTCGTGTGAAGTATGAGCCTCTCCCTGACTCCGCAAACTACTCCAAGCCCAACAACCACATTCCAGCCTCCAGCCTGGTAGTGCCGGTTATGTAGTCCACATTTCATCCCGATTTTGATCTCTTTCATTTTACAAAAAGTTTGATATTCTGAATACATCAATTTTTTGGCATTTTATGATCACTTCCTTACAAGTACAAAAATATATATTTTAGTTCATTTCTATTTTTTTTTTTAAAAACAGATTTCTTTTATTGAAGTTTTATTAAAAATTTTCACAGCAAATAATAAAAAAAAAAAAAAAAATAGGGGAATCCTGTCTAGATGTTGTAGGCTACCAGTGATCCTTCACAAGATCTTTCCGCAAACCTCTCCCATGTGTTGGACATGTAATCAAGCAAGGGGCATGATGTTACATGTTTTCTGGGTTTGTTCTGTGCTCCGATCGTTCTGGACGGGAATTGATCTGGCAGACCGCCCGAAGCGCATCTTCTGCATGTGAACTCTTGCGTCGCTAGCGAAAGCGTCTCTATAAGCGTTCCCTTTTGATACATTTGATTAATGCAGCAATGTCGAATACAATTAATGTATTAATTGCATTTGATTAATGCAGTGTATGGCTGGGCACACACCTTACAACCATCGCAAGACTTTTGTCTTGCGATGGTTGTAAGGTAATTTAAAAAAACGTACGATCTGCCTATTTTGGACAGGCAGATCGTACTTGCGATGATCGAAAGCCCGCACCGCTGAGGGGCAGGCTTCCGATGACCGCAATGCTGAACGGGCAGTGTGCGCTTGCGCTTTTATCTTACGAACATGCTACACA